GGGGGGGGGGGGGGGGGGTGTTAGGGATGCTGGTCCCATTAACAAATGCATCTAAAAAGAGAGAAAGAAAGAGTGGTGTATCTTGTCCCGCTTCAATTGAATTTGACCCCCATGAAAGTGGAACGGGAGTTACATAATTATGTCTTGTTTGGCCCCCACTCCATCTCTCTTCCTTATGGCAAGATGTGGCGGAACATAAGAACAGCTGAGTTTGCCCCCACAATTCCCTCTTATTTTAACTAACATTTGGGGTTCCTTCCATGATGGTAGGTAATGGTTACAAGAACCTAGACATTTTGTGTGATTAGTTAGTTGCACCTCTGGCTCATGCCACGGTTTGTTTTGGTTTTTATTTCACTATGCATAAGAGGAGAAAGAAACCCATATCCAGCATAAACAGTGTGAAGGACACGCAAATACGTGTGAGAATTTCCAGTTTCAAAGGCTTTTCAAAATCTTCCTTGAAGAGCATATCCGATATGTTTGTCTTAAGGCTGAAAAGGATAATTCACTATCTTGGCGTGACAACGAAAGTTAAAGCTTTAAAAGTGATCAAATTTTGGTCTGAGACCCTGAATATTTGAGATAGAAACATGGAACTTGCAGGATGATATTTGTTGCGACAAAAATACAATCTATGATGGCATCCTTTGACCATAACATATAGCAATCTTTTGGAAAGTTAATAGGCTTTGAGAATCTCGATAGTCATGAAGCCCCCTCCATTTTTATTTCGTTGCTTTTTATTCCATAGTGGTGGAAGCAGGTTGACTCTTCAGCCAATTTAGATGCTAATGGCCAACACAAATCTCTGTGCAGCTTTACACATTGTGTGACCATTGCCTGAATTATCCGAAACAGTTCTTCACTTGGAAAATTAAGGGCATATAATGAAGAAGCAATTCAATTTTCATCCATTGTTAGTAACTTTCTACACTGTTCAAAAATGAGCTGTCACATCATTAATTATAGTTACCAAGATTTCTCACTTCTGGTAAATACTTTAAACTATTTCAAACAACTCACACCATGCTTTACTGTAGTTGTAATATAAGTGAATCGAACATTAAATCAACAGTGCAACAGTAAAAGGCACACATTTAGGCAAACATTTTGATTTGCGGGAGAAGGTTTCATTATTCACACAGTATGTAACAAACTAGAAACAGCAGCCTAGATCAAGAGAAAGCTGGAATTTTCAACTCAGATTCCTATTTCTTTAGCAAGTCATTTTCTAGTAGTAACCAAATGCGTGCTTTTGAGAAAATTACCCTTGAATTGGAATGATAACGTAATGGGTAACACTACTCAACTACCAAAATACTTCCATCCCATGAACATGAAGCAATAACATTAGGTATAACCGGGTGGAAGGCAACATCTATGCAAGCTTCGTCATGGGCCTTTATTTTCTTCACAACTTTGGATGACTGATAATCATAAAGGTAGATAGAACCATCTGAAGAGCCAGAAGCAAGTTTTTTCCCATCCAAACTGAAATTGCACTTGATTGGGAACCCAGAGACCGCATGACTCTCATATCGCTTATATTTGTTGAGTCTGTAAGGTGGGGTGGTAGTAAAGATTGCAACATAATTCCCATTTGATTGGGCAACGAAAGTCGAATCAAAAGGGTGGCGCCTCACACAGGGACATGTAAAAGCTTCCGCATAAACCTGATTCAGGAGTATCATAAGCTAATTAAAACCTAAATTGCACATATGGTAAAATTGATATTTAGAGATGCATTGCGTCCTCCAAAATGATCATAGAAATTTCAGCGTGCATTATGAAGTGCATGTGACTTGAGCTTTACCAAATCTTTAATATCATGTACAGAGTCTTTGCATGAAGTGAAAACTAAAAAGTGATCTTCTAAACTATGTGTTAATTGTTATCCATGCAAAGCATGTTTCTTTGCTGCATTCATATTATTACCAAACAACCATAAAAGAATCAAAAGATTTAATCAGAAGTCAGGGTCCCTAGAGAAAAAAAGTTTAAACAAGTGAACCATTTTATTAAAAATAAAATAAAATAACATTAAAACCAGCAGCACCACAACCCCAACATTCTCCCTTCTTCCTTGCCACACCCTGTTTGTTTCCCTCCATTTCTCATTTTTCTTACTCAAAGCTGTTCTTTTGAGATTCTGGAGAAACTCTGGAATCACACTTAATTTCTCCTCTGCATAAACAACTTGGGAACAATTTTCTAGAGTTAGAGATAGAGCATTAAGGACTAAAGGGTTCTACCCACTCCTTGTCCTTCAAAATTTATTATTTGGATTCTAGAGGTAAACCCAATACCCATAACTCAAGCTTGGGAAAATTAGTTCTTGCCATGTTTTCACTTTTAGAGGTGTATAGAGCTAAGAATAAATCTAGGGCTTGCATCTTTAAACAACTTTCTAAGTTGTTAAATATTTGTTGGTGTTCTGATCTGATGGCAAATACCTCCCCCACTCTAAAGTAATTGTGGGAGTGATTTAATTGGTTTCTCATAGTGGTGAGTTGAGTGGATAATATCAATATAGTTTATATTTTGTTCTTTCAAACTTTGAATAGTTTTCTACAAGGTTTGATAGAATTAATCAGATCTGATTCTGATCAAATTTGTTCCTTGATTTTCTTTTATCTTCAATTTAAATTATTTTGCAATCAGATTGGCTAAGGCAACTCTCTAACCAATGCTGCCTATTTATACTCTCGTTGTAATTCTTGGTTAATCAATGAAAAAAAACCATTATATTCCCCTAAACTACATATAATTTACTTAGTGATATTTTTATTTAATTTTTTTTTGGTAGGAGGAACAAACTTTCTAAGAAATAAGAATTTATTCTAATCCAAGAGAATTATTTCAATGAGGTTAATTTAATTATTATTATGTGATCTATTTGATAAATATGCAAATATCACTTGTGTATATCTTCGATTGAACTTGGAGTTTCATGGGTTTTACTTATTTCAACGTGATGGATTATATTATAAGAGTTGGTATTGTTATAAATTATATAATTGGTAAGCCGACTTTTATGAGAAACTGTAATAGATAGACTGTTTTGGAGAACTTAGGAAAGAAATATTTTGAGATAAATGGATTTGACTTGATGGTTTCTATTTAAATGTCATGCTTTAAAATATTCATGATGGGTTCCTTGTTGAAACACCGCTTTGTTATAGACATGAGAATAAAAGGCCTATATGCACATATATTAAAATATATTACACTAGATGGGTTGAGCTTAAGGCATGGCCATAGATACATAGCTTGGTGGGTTGAGCTCACCAATTAGGCATGGACTCAAATATGTGATTTGTAGGATTGAGCTTAACCTTTCCAGCATGAATTTATTTAGTTCTTCATGCATAAGCCCTTATGATATTATATTCTAGATAATTAGCAAATAAATTTTATTTCATGACATGTTTATATCTATGAGCAAGCCTTGGAAAAGAAGAGCTCTTCACATTGTCAATTGATTTGCTTCAAGTTTAACTCCTCCAATTATGATATATATTGAGTTATGTAACATTTGTTAGTTGTGCCAGAAAACTTGTTCACTTGATCGTTCCTCCTTCCTGTTCATTTTATATGTTATTGTATCAGTGAGTCTGTGTGACTCACCCTACTATTCTTTCCTTTACATTCACAGATTGCATAGTAGCAGGTATCAGGGACTGCTAACTTATCCAAAGAATTTTTTATTCTTTTGGTAGGTGTAAGCCTCCATCGTTGATGAAGGCTAATGTATGTTGACTCCAACATATTGCGCCTATAGAAACTATGTTTTGCTTTATTGATATATATTTCATTGCACAGTTTAAAAAGTGTGTTTGCTTCTTTGTTGTGGTGTTGCGTTGCAGACCCCCCCCCCCT